GCCCAAACAAGAATGCAAGAAATGTCCTTCCTCCCCTCAAAGAGGTTGTCTTAAGGTCAAGTGGCCACTTAGGAGCTGAACCAGGGGAAGAACTAGCTCTTGACCTTGTTCTGGCCACCTGAGCAGGCCCTGCCACTTTCCTTTCTCAGAGGCCCTGGGAGGCCACTGCCTCCTGCCTGATGCCCTCAACTCTCCTGAGCAGAGACGCTCTGGTGCACCTCAGTGGTAGAATGCTTGCCAGCACGTTCAAGGCCCTGGCTCCAGGCCTAGCTCTACAAAAACAAAACAAAAGATTGTTGTTGTTTTTTAATGAAAACCTCTAGGCATGGTGGTACAGGCCTGTAATCCCAGCGGCTCAGGAGGCTGAGGCAGGAGGATGGCAAGTTCAAAGCCAGCCTCAGCAGTTTAGCAAGGCCCTAAGCAATGTAATGAGATCCTATCTAAAAGGGCTGGGGATGTGGCTCAGTGGTAAAATGTCCCTAGGTTCACTCCCTGGTAATTAAAAAAAAAGAAAAAAAGGAAGGAAGGAAGGAAGAAAGAAAGAAAGAAAAGAAACCCATGACTCCTACACACCCATAAAAAGAATAAGTAAAGTATTAAGAATTTCCCTAGGGCTGGGGATGTGGCTCAAGTGGTGGCGCGCTCGCCTGGCATGTGTGCGGCCCGGGTTCGATCCTCAGCACCACATGCAAACAAAGATGTTGTGTCCGCCGGAAACTAAAATAAATAAATAAATATTTAAAAAAAAAAAAAGAATTTTCCTAGCCAGGCCCAGTGGTGCACACTTTTAATCTCAGTGGCTCGGGAGGCTGAGGCAGGAGGATCAGGAGTTCAAAGCCAGCCTCAGCAATGGCAAGGAGCTAAGTAACGCAGTGAGACCCTGTCTCTAAATAAAATACAAAATAGGTAGGGCTGGGGATGTTGCTCAGTGGCCAAGTACCCCTGAGCTCAATTCCTGTTACAAAAAAAAAAAAAAAAAAAAGAAAAAGAAAGAAAGGAAGGAAGGAAGAAAAGAAAAGAATTTTCCTAGTTGGGAACACACCTGTAATCCCAGCAGCTCGGGAGGCTGAGAAAGGAGGATCACGAGTTCCAAGCCAGCCTCAGCAACTTAGTGAGCCCTAAACAATTTAGCGAGACCCTGTCTCTAAACAAAGAATAAAAAGGGCCGGGATGTGGCTCAGTGGTTAAATGCCTCTGAGATCAATTTCTGGTGAAAAAAAATTTCTTTCCTTAACTAACTCATAACTCATAAGGGAGCCAGGTGGATGTTATCACCAGATCCAAAGGGTAGCCCAGAAAACCCAGGTTCATAGGTCAGGAATACTGAAATCAAAGAGCAAATGGAGGCGAAACAGGTCTGCAAGGGGGGGGGGGATAAATGGGACAGAGTTTTCATCCACACGCAAGTGACAGGGCTGAGAAACAAGGAAAGAGAAGGAAGGTCCGGAATCCATGGCCTGGGCAGCTGTGGAGTAAGCAGCGCAGAGCTGCCGGCAGAGGCCCAGCAGTGTTTTCTGCAGAAGCGTCCCTCCCCAGTCTCACCTGACCCCGGTCCTCTGAGAATCAGCGTGATTCACGCACAGGATGTCAGGCCCTTTCTGGGTAAACTGGGAAAATTTCAACTCTCTTGCAAACAAGAGGCCCGAGGTCTAAACTCGGGTTTTTAAGAGGAAGGGCTCAACACATCAAAGATTTTTTTTTTTTCCTTCAGATTTGGGCCTCTGTTGCATGACGGCTTCTGGAACATTCTAGAACATGAATGTTTCTGAAGTGAGTCTGTAAAAGAGAGCCAGTTTCTCTGGACAGCCTTGGGCAGTTATACCACCTCTCTGGTGTGCAACTTTCTGGTCCTGAATTGGGCCGATGCTGGGTGGGGGTCACATATCTAAGCATCTGGGTGGGGCTCTGTTAAGAGGAGCCCTGGGGCCCAGTGACCACCGGGAAGGCTCAGGGCTCCCCAGCAACCCCATGCTGTCCTTTGCTCCTGTACTGTTCCGGCTTTGCCCTCGCTGAGCCAGGTTCCCAGGTGTCAGCGCGGGGACTTTCTGGCCAGCCCCTCCTAGCAGGTGGGCGTCTGGGCCAGTGTGTGGGGCTCCTTAGAGGGCATTCCCAGGGCAGTGGCAGCAATTCCGTGGCCACCTCACTCGCTCTCTGGTTTTGCAATCTGCTTTCTTCTCTCAGCCTCACGGCAACCCGGTGCGGGGGCAACCAGGGGGCGGGGGCGGGGGCCAACCACAACACCCTGCCCCTCCTGCATTTGGAGAAGCCAGTGAGAGGCGTGAGAACCGTGGCGCAGGGGCCACTCCCAGTTCTCTAGCCCATGCTGCCCTCTAGTGGCCGTGCCCCACTCCTGCCTGCGGCAGCCCAGGGCCAAACCCTCGCAGTTGGGTTTGCAGAGAAGCCTCAGGACCCCACATAGCGGGTCAGGACTCCTACAGCGAGGAGTATCCATTTTTAGGTACACATATACATATATTGGGTATTTTTGTTGTTGTTTTGTTGCTAGTGGTGGAATGATGGAATCCAGGGTCTGGCGCATGCTAAATTTGGCTCTGCAATTGAGCGGCACTCTCAGGCGCAGCGCGTGCGCACGCATATATGTATTTTATATATTATCATCAATATTAATTATCATCACATTTTAATTTACAAATGAACAGGATTCACTGTGTTATTTCCACACATGCGCACATCATGCGATCCTGCATTGATCACATCTACTCACCTTCTCTGCCCTCTCTCCACTCCCCCAGACCCCTTCCCAGTCCCTTATGATCCCTCTTTCATTTTCCATCTTTTTTTTTTAAAGAGAGAGAGAAGAGAGAGAGATGATTTTTTTAAATATTTATTTTTCAGTTTTTGGTGGACACAACATCTTTATTTTATGTGGTGCTGAGAATCGGACCCAGTGCCCTGCGCATGCCAAGTGAGGGCGTTACATCTTGAGCCACATCCCCAGCCCCTTTCCGTCTTTTTTAGCTGACATGAAATCCTCTAATTCCATACATTTTCCTGCAAATGACAAGATTTCGCTCTTCTTCATGGCTGAGTAATATTCTGTTGTGTCTATATACCGTATTTTCTTTATCCATTCATCTGTTGATGGGCACCTTGGCTGAAGCCATATCTTGGCTATTGTGAATAGCACCACAATAAACACTGGGATGCTAACATTGCCTACTTCATACATTGTTATTTTGTTGTCCCTGAAACTCTTGCCTGCCAGCACAGCCTCCTCCCCTCCCCCATAACAAAATTTGCTATCACTTTTTTTTTTTTCTGGGGTACTAGGAATTGAACCCAGGTCACTTTACCACTTTGCCCCCTCACCATTCCTTTTCATTTTGAGAAAGGGTCTCACTAGTTTGCCGAGGCTGGCCTTGAACTTGCAATCCTCCGTCTCCCTCAGCCTCCTAAGTAGCTGGGATTACAGGCATGCTCCACTGAGCTGGCTTGTTCACACATTTTGGCCACAGTGAATAACACTGCCATGAACATGGGTATAGAAATGTCCCCTTGACACTAGACAATATTTTATCATTTTATTTTTGCAGTGGGAATTGAACCCAGGGGCATTTTACCACTGAGCTTTGTTCCCAGCCCTGTTATTATTTGAGTCAGGGTCTTGCTAAGTTGCTGAGGCTGGCCTCGAACTTGTGATCCTGCCGAGTCCCTGGGATTACAAGGACGTATCGTCACGCTCAGGTACACAGTGGATTTCATCTGTGCCCGTGAACTGCATTCAAAGGGAAGGGAAATTATTTTTGCCCAAGTGCTCTGTCTGTGCTTGGGACATGGCACAAGCCCTCCTAGGGTCAACAGAAGGAGGGAGAAAAGAGGACTGGGGGACAGGGGGGATGCAGATAAACACACAGCAGGACTCTCCCTAGAAGGGTCCTCTGATGAAGTCATTTACAAATGTGTAGCCTGGAAGCCAAGCCACCGCCCCCAGGGTTTCAAGAGGAATCCGCTGGGCTACATTTCACTAGGAAAACCCCAACCAAACTTGGCTACTAAGACAGCGCCGCTGAGGGCAGGCCACTGGCCCCGTCCTCTCAGCTGCCCAGCTCGGACAAGGCTCCTCTGACCTGAGGATGCAGCAGCACTCAGCAGACATATCCAGGGCCCTGTGCCTCTGGGCCCACCCCCGACATGGACATGACCCCCAGGGCAGCCTCCGCCCTTCCCTCCCAGCCACAGCCGTGGTGCCCCACAAGGAATCCACCCACCCAATCGAGATCCCCAACTCCTGACAGCACACACCAGGCGCAAACCCCACTTCTGAAGTCCCCCCAGTCTCTTCAAGCTCTGGAGTCCCTCCTCACACCTGCTGACCCGGACACCCGAAGTCCCCCATGTCGTGTGGCCTAATAAACCCAGCTTTGTTGACGAAGAAGGTGTGCTCCTGGTGTTCCCAATGACAGGCACCACCAGCAGGACCCACGGGGCTGTTGACAAAGGAGCGTGGGCTGCATGACCCTGACTTGGGGCCAGGCACAAACCCCACCAGCCTGACGCTCCTTTCCTGCTCGGCAATCCCTGTCCCTAGCTGACAGAGGGGGTGTCGAGGCCCACACCCCAGAGCAGCAGAGGGAGGTGGAGGGCACCAGCCCCTTGATCTGGTGCTCTTTCCCACCAGGCACCCTGCTCTCTGGAGCCGGGCTCACCAGGCCACCCAGCAGTCACTGAGCTCGCAGGGAGGTGGGCCTGGGCAGGTGCGGGCCCTGAGAATGCAAACTGCTCCTCCTACAGGGTTGGTGGCTCTGAAGGGCTCCCTCCAGCAAAGGCTCCCCCCCCCCCCGGGCACCCTGTAACCTGTCCACTGCGGCACTGAGGTGCCAGGCACGGGGAGGGATGGGGCTTCCTGGTCTACCAAGCTGAGCCCAGTTCTGGGGAAGGAGGTGCAGGCACTTCCTGGACACAAATGCCACACACATTTTTCCAGGGCCACTACCAAACCCAGCACCACCCCTCGGGTCGTGAATGGATCACAGGCGAGCTTCTGACAGGTGCACATTTATTTGCAAGGCGTAGGAGGGGAAGACACACTCACGCTATGTGGACATCAGTGCAAGGACTCACTGCTTAGCACGAGGCCCGAATGGAAGTGAAAGAAAGAAAACAGGACATGGAGCTGGTGGAGGTAACAGGACAGGTCCTCGGTTACCGTGAAGATTGAGGTGGCTGTGAAGGCTGAGGCTGGGCCTCGCTGCTCTAAGCTTAACGCAGGAGACTGAAAGCCGGTCAGAGGGTCTGAGTGGCTCCACCCCAGGGCCCGGAACCCGGAGCTCTCACAGGTGAGCGTGCGGTGGGCCGAGGACCCCGTGGAGAAAAGCTGGTTTTAATCTGTTCTACGGGAGCCTGGTGATGTCAGGAAGCAACAAGTGATTTTCCTTAAGAGGGAAGAACCTTCTAGATGTGGCCTTGCGGAGGCAGTGGATACAGGGGAGCCTGGGCTGCAGGGTTGGAGTGAGACGTGGGGGGCAACCAGGGGGCTGGAGGGACACCTGCCCCGAAACCATCCTGAGGGGGTATTTGTGTGTGTGTGATGTGCACAGCCCCAGTTAAGGCTGCAGGAAGGATGCTCAGCACCGTCCCTGTCCCCCAGCACACAAAAAGGCACTTAAACCACGTCCTGATGACTGGCTGCAGCACAGGAGGAGGCAGAAGGCAGGTGAGGGGCTGCTGACCTCTCCCCTCTTGCCCCAACCCAGCCTCATTCTGGGGTGGGAAGTCTAAGGCTGTGTCACCAGCAGGTGACATTCTTGTACATTTATGGACCAAGGGGGGATTTGTCCTAAGACTTCGTCCCACCCCAAAGCAAGTTATTCAAAGAAAAAAAAATTTATCTCCACAAATCTGAAGAATATCGTTTCCTATCACCTGAACCTCGAAATTCTTAAAAAAGCACTTTTAAGTGACATTGGAGTTGTTCTTCACCCCGCTTGGCCCCGTGCTCCAGGCTGGCCTCAGCACCCTCTGCTACATAGTTAAGTGTCAGTGACACAGGTGCCACCTGGGCTCGGAAGGGAGGCTGGGAGACGAGGTCAGGAAGGGCCCCTCAGCAGCAGCCCGCGGCACTGCGCTTCACGTGGCACGGCTTGCAGAAGAGGTGGTCATTCAGCGGGTAGCAGCCTTGGTCCGTGGGCTCCACAGACAGGAGGATGCTGCAGTCCTGGGGAGACAAAGGCATACGTGGGTGTCCCTGGAGCTGGGAGCTGGCTGCATGGAGCCTGTCCAGGGGAGGAACTTGCTTGGGATGTGAAGAATAAACCAACTGGGGGTGGGCCTCCCCCAGGCTCCCCATATGCCCAGGCCCGGTGCCTAGCAAAGACCAGACACCATATGTGGGGGCTTCGAGCCACAGGGGCTGTGAGTGACAACAGCAGAGTCATTGCAGGGAGAGCCAAGGACACTCAGAGAGGGACAACCTGGTGACCCCTTTGGAATTTGAGTTGTGCCAGGCAGGAACCCTGCTGATGGCTAGATCGCAGCCTGGACCAGCCGGGCACAGGCCTGTGTGATGTCTGCTGAACGAGCCCCCGAGTCTAGTCCAGCTCCTCGTTTTGCAGGTGGGGAAACTGAGGTTGGGGGGGGGGGTCCGCCCCAGGTCGCATTAGCTGGTTCTAGAGCTGGGACCACACTGGGAATTGAGCTCAGGGTCTCACACAGGCTAGGCAAATACTGGACCTCTGAGCTAGAACCCCAGCCCAAACATTAATATCCCCAATTTCTCAAATCACAGAAAAATTTCAGAATGAAAAGGAGAGGAGGCCCAGACTTGACCAAGTCCGCCCTTTTGCCCCCAGTCCACACCTTTGGTGGGCCTCACCTGGGCACCTGCCAGAGTAACCCCGGGAACCATCCCCGTCCAGAGGCCTGGTCCAGGGCACAGCCAACTCCCTTTGGAAGCTGCGCGGATCCAGTCAAGGGGACTAGTCCCCAGATAGACAACTCTGGGCTGGCAGGTGGCCACCCTGACCCAGGGGAACCAGATGCACACCTGCCTTGCTCTGTGGCCAGCTGGGCAGGGCGCCCTCGCGGGGCTCCACCTGGAGGCTCTAGTGGAAACCGGCTGCTAAACCCCAGAATCTGTGTCATTCACAAAGGCTGCTGTTTGGTGTTGTGAGAGCATCAAGTGACAAACCTAAATGGGGACAATGAATATCATCTCCCCAGAGTGTCCTGGGGATTAAATAAGACGGTGTGTACGAAGGCATTTAATTATAAAACCCTACCCATGTGTGACAGTACTGTCACCCTTCCAACAACCATCATAAATACAGAGCCCAAGGCCAGCAGGGCTGTGGATGGTCCCGGAAACCCAGGTCCCTTCCTAGAGAAATGGCACCTCAATCCATTCCCGGCTGCTTGGGTCTGGAGCTTCACCTTCTGAAATATAACTGCTACAGACCTAATGCTGACTTACTTCAGTAGCCACGGTCAAGGTCACCAAGGACAAGCAGGGGGTTACTGCTAATCTAAATCACCACCGGAACCAATAAGGGCGATAACCGCACCTGCTTTTCCTCATTGGCCCTTACAGGTACACTATCAGTTGGACCTTGAACTACAACCAACAAAGACAACCTCAGTACAAGGCAGTTTTCTCCAGGTCCTTGGATGCCCTCAGTGAAAACAGGCTCTTGGGTCCATGTATCTTTTCTGTTTTTCTCCTGGGCTGGGGATGGACCCCAGGACTCACCCGTGCTAGCTGGGCAGGTTTCCTACCGCTGACTGAGCTGCATCCCCAGCTGTCTTGTCTTTTCTTTCTTTTTTGAGACAGGGTCTTGTTAAAAGTTGCTGAGACCAGCCTCAAACTTGCAGTCCTCCTGAGTTTGCATCACTGCCCCCAGCCCCCATGTACCTGTTTAAATGAATGTGAGCAAATAAATGCTAAGGATTACTCATTGACTGACTGAGGGATTTGCCTGGGACTCTCCGCTCCCTTTGTCACCAGTGGTAGAGAAGACAGAAACTTCAATGACATGGGGCTAGCAGCAGGTGTGGGAAGGGATTCTTGGTGCTTCTCCAGCCAGACCAGTGAGAGGGTCTAGGCTCCTTAAAAAAAAAACAAAAAACAAAAAAAACAAGGAATGATAACAGGATGGTGACACAGGACTTTGTAGCCTCCGTGGGGCCCTGACTCCGTGGGCATTTCTTTTCCATCTTTTGTGGCACTGGGGATTGAACTCCGAGCCCCACAAGGTAGCTCTGGATTGCGGAGCTGCACCCCGGGACCACACCCACCACTCACCATGGAGGTCCCCAGGTGGGTCTCTGCTCCAGACCCACCTGGGGACCTCCATGGCCGATTCCTCGGGCTTGCTGCTGCTGCTGCGGGTTCCACAGGCCCTTCCCTCTTTCTGTTTCCTGACTCCATCTCTCAATACCTGGCAGCTCTGCTCACCTGCCAGCCTCCGTTTAGGCACCACTGCTCTGTGAGGCTGCCTCTCCTCCCACCACCCTGCTCAGCCTCCATCACTGCCTTCTCCCCAAACCCGCCGATAAGTGCTCTCTTCAGCACCCACACAGGACCCGGGTGGCCTTACTCTGCCCAGGACCCGCTCTCCCTGCCTAGGGTGGTAGCAAGCCATGCGCTTCGTAGGATTCTGCCTTCCAGTGCCAGGGGCTGTCAATGCTGCTGTCACTCCTGGCACCCAGACAGAGTGATTGGCTCCGAGGGGCATGCGTCACAGGCTGGGCCAATCAGGGGCCTTCTTGGGACTGTGTGGATGCCCTGCGTGGGGTTCGTTCTCGACAAACACAGAAAAGGCAGAACCATGAGGCTGGGATTGTGGCTCAGAGGTAGAGCGCTCGCCTAGCACAGAAGATTCTCTCTCTTAAAAAGAAAAGAAAGAAAAGAAAGAAAAGGCAGAACCGAGAGACAGAGAGACAGCCCTGATGCTAATCATCAAGGAGGTCACCACCATGAGCTGACAGGTTTGCTTTCTTGCGGTAAGCAGTGTGACTTTGTGTCTGTCCTGGACACCAGGAATGCTGATGGACGGCTGTCTTTCTAATTCTTCCCATTCTCCTTTGTCTCTGCCACTGCCCAGCAGAGAGCTCGGTCCCCAGCCTGACCTGCCCCCCCATGCCCAGCCAGGGCAGGTGGGCGTGGGCCTCCGAGGGTCCAGGCAGAGAGAGCGCGGTCAGGTCATCGCTGCCCCACTCACCTCGCACCTGTAGCAGTTTTCGTGGAAGTTTCTTCCCATGCACTCGATTTTGAAGGCATCCTTCCCATCCTGGGGGATGATGGGATTCTCACAGATGCTGCACACGGGGGCAAATTTCCTAGAGTGAAGGGAACCCACACTCAGGAGGCGTTCATGCGGACAGCCACCAACATTTGCTGGCAGAACCGTGGCTGGCTCAAGTTCACCTCCCAGAGCTGTTCCACACCTTGGGTATTGACGGCTCCTAAGGCCCCAACCACAGCGACCGCCCCTTCCCAGGGGGTAATTAGCTTGGAAGCCCCGGAGGAAGGTCCCTCTCCTTTGACTTGCATTACAGGTCACTAATTTTTTTTTTCTTTCCCTCCTTTTCGGACAGGCACATCTGCCTCTCCCCTCGGACAGGGAGCAACTCCCGGCAGGGAACGAGTCTCCCGGATATCCACCTCCCCACGGCTTCGTCCAGCTCCCAGGGGCGGCGCTGGGGACTAGGGCCCCGGAGCAGGGCTCTGAATTGAAGCTTCGGTGCTTACCAGGGAAGAGCCTGGGTACCCAGTGGCTGCGTGCCTCGGTTTCTGCATTTGGTAAAAGGGACCTCTCGATCATACCCACCTGGGAGGACTACTTTGAGGATTCAATGGGCCGACTTAAGGGAAGTGCCGGACAGTTAGGTGCACGGCCAGGAGTGTGGCCCATGGAAGCACTAGGCTCCTCTGGGCCGAGACTGCAGAGAGCTCTGCCTGGTCCCCAGCGCTCAGCAGCCTCCTCTGCTCTGCCGAGTCCCGCCCTGCCCCCCACAGCACCCAATGCCCCGTCCCCCCCCCCCGTACCTGTAGAAGTCATCGAGGCAGTACACCTGGTTCTGGCTGTCCAGCGCAAAGCTCTCGTCCCCGATGCACCGGGCGCAGCTCACACAGGTGAAGCAGGAGGGGTGGAAGGCCTGGCCCAGGGCCCTGATGATGTGGTCCCGGACCACCTCTCCACACTGGCCACACTTCTCCAGGGTGTCCTGGGACAGAGGGCCCCTGCCTCAGAGCCGTCCATGGGTCCCCCCATTCATGGACCCCAGACTCTTCTGACCAGCCACCCACAGGGGACCAAAAGGCCAGCAGTAGGAGCAGCCCGTGATCAGCCCCAAAGTTACAACCCAGACGCCTCCACGATGCCCTGAGCATCGCTCCTCGGCTTATAGCCAGGCACACTGCTGCGGAGCTAGGACTGAAGTCTTGTTACTGCGCCATGTTCCAGGCCAGGGTCTGCCAGAGCTCGGGGGAGATGCTTCTCCTGAACCTCAGAACCAGGCAGAGGAATCCCCAGGGAGTTGGCATGCTTTATCCTACACATGATGGATCTGGAAATTCTTTCCCTTTTCCACTTAACTACCTGGAAGCTCAGAGGCCAATTCTATGTTCTACTTTAGGAACCATGGGAGAGGTCTTTCAACATCCATTTATGGGCACTAACTTCTCCTCTGGTCTTATCTCACTTTCTACTTTGATTTTCCTTCGGTTTGGATTTCTTTCTTTATTTTATTTCTTTTAGCATTATAGGCATTCCTTTTTAGAAACTCTGTGTTAAGAATATTTAACTTGAGATCTGTCCTCTTAAATTGTTAAGTGCACAATATCACTGTGACTGGAGATATTTATAAATAATAATAATAATAATAATAACATTATTATTATTATTATTATTTTGAACTCAGGGGCACTCAACCACTGAGCCACATCCCCAGCCCTATTTTGTATTTTATTTAGAGACAAAGTCTCAGTGAGTTGCTTAGCACCTGCTCTTGCTCAGGATGGCTTTGAACTTGCAATCCTCCTGCCTCAGCCTCCTGAGCTGCTGGGATTACAGGTGTGTGCCCCCACGACCAGCATGAATTATGTTGCAAGATGGAAACCAAGGTCTTGCTGTGATAGATAAGAGCTCTACTACTGAGCTACATCCCCAGCCCTTTTTATTTTTTGTTTTGAAACAGGGTCTTGTTAGTTGCTGAGGTTGGCCTCAGGGTTTCAATTCTCCCAAGTTGCTTACAGGCAAGCGCTTACCATGTCTGCCCCCCTGTTCATTTTAACTGGATTCCACCTGGACAGGTGCACTGCAGAGAGCCTTTGCCCTTCCCCCGTCTGTTGTGGTTTGGATGTGGTTTAAGTGTGATCTGCAAGGGTCCCTGTATTGGCAGATTGGTCCCCAGTGTGGTAATGTGGGAGGTAAAGGGAACCTGTCAGAGGTGGAGCCCACTGGGAGGTGGTTAGGTCCTAGGGGTCCTGCCTTCGAAAGTACTTCTCATAGTTTCCATGAGAGTGAGTTGTTATAAAAGAGCAAGTTTGGCCCTTCCCCGGGCTCTGGCTTCCTGTCTTGCCATGCGACCTCTCCCTCTTGCACACCCTCCTGCCATTGGATGCCATCTACCATGAGGCCTTCACCATAGCCCAGCTGATGCAGGCTACATGCCCTTGAACCTTCAGATCTGTGAGTCAAATTAACCTCTTCTCTTTACAAAGTACTCAGTCTCAGGTATTTTGTTATAGCAACAGAAAATGAACGAAAGCACACTCCCAGGGGCAGCTGTAGCTCTTCTGTCCCCAGAACACTGCTCACGTTTTCTTCCTGGCTGCTTCCAGCAGTAAGCCCCCTCCCTCTCCTCAGGGCCTCACTTCTGCCTGGCTCCAAGCTGAAGGAGGAGGTAGGGAACCCCCACAATGTCAACTGGATGCCAACAGAGGGATGGGGTGGGAAGAGCTGGGTTCCTTCCTCTTACGGCTAGGCCTCGCCGGCCATGGTGGTCACAGGGCTGTGACTGGATCATCCTGATTGTTTGGGATAGTCCCAACTCCAAGGAACCTAACCCCTGAGACCAGGGTTTTCAAGCTCCAGTGCGCGTGAGACACTTGTTAAAAACACACTCTGCCAGCGCTTCCACCCACGAGGACACGGCGGGGCCTACACACAGGTGATGTGGGTGGCAGCCACCCAGGTCCTGAGCTCGAGAACTGTGAGTGTCGAGGGCCAAAGAGACTCTGCAGATGCGGTTACGTTAGAGACCTAGGAACCACCAAGTGAGTGTCCCTGTGGGAGCGAGGCAGAGGGGGACTGACAGAAGGGGGCAATGTGACAGTCCCTGGGGCCCCATGCCACACTGCTGGCCTCTCAGCAGGAGAAGGAAGCCAGGAAGGCACAGAAACCAGGAAAGTCCAGGGATGGCTTCTCCCAGAGCCTCCCAGGCTCCCCACCTTGACTCTGGCCCAGGGAGACCCATTTGGAACCTCGACCCCCAGAGCTACAGGAGAATTACAGGTACTGCTTGGCGCCACCGAGTCTGTGGCGACTGGTTACACACACCCCAACAGCCCATGTGTTAGATGCTTGGTCCCCATTGTCACTGTTGGGCTAAGGGGCCTCGAGGGAGGTCCTTAGGGGATATGCACTTTCAGAGGATCGTGGAATCCTGGCCCCTTCCTCTTCTTTTATATATATGTAAGTTGTTGATAGACCTTTTATAATTATTATTATTTATTTATACCTGGTGCTGAGAATTGAACCCAGTGCCTCACACTTGCCAGGCAAGTGTGCTACTGCTGAGCCACAGTTCCAGCACCCTTTCCTCTTCTTTTACTTCCTGGCCATGAGGTGAGGGGTTTAGTTCCACCACATGCTCCCACCATGATGTGCTGTCTCACCACAGACCCAAAATAGCAGGGGCAACTGATCATGAGCTGGAAAACTGTGAGCTAAAAATAAACCTTTTCTCTTTATAAGCTGATCATCTCAGGTGCTTTGTTATAGTGATGGAAAGCTGACCATCACATTATAGCAGCTCCGGGAAACTAATTCATCATGGCTGAGCTCCATCTTTTTGAGTCTCAGCTTCCTCATCCGTGAAATGGGCCTACCCAGGAGTATTGTAGGGAATGAATATAACATCTCCCAAGCACCCAGCTTGGTGCCTGACAGCCGGAGGCTTGCCTCAGGGGTTACCTGGTAGCAGGATTCACAGAGGGGCCGCCCATCCTTCTGGTAGAAGCTCTGCCCGGCCAGCTGGCGGCGGCAGGTGCGGCAGGTGAAGCACTGTGCGTGGTACTGTTTCTTCATGGCCTCCACGGCCAGCTCTCGGGGGGACACAGTCTTGTGGCAGAAGGCACAGATGTCTGGGATAGAGGAGGCACAGGCTATCACAAGGAATGCGGGTGGCCTTTGCAAAGCTAAGGTCAAGAACAGTAGGGCTGCGGGGTGGCTCAGCAGCAGAGCGCTTGCCTAGCCTGTGAGAGGCCCTGGGTTCCATCCCCAGCACTGCAAAAAAACTAAAAGAAAAGTAGGTGCATCTCCTGCCTCAGACAGGACCCATCTCCCCGCGGGCCCAGGAGCGCGAGCTCTGCACCCAGCACTCCCATCCCCAGTGCCTGGGGCAGGGGTCTGGGTGGCAGGCACTTCCTGCGGTGCTCAAGGAGTAAGAGGCAGCCAGCATGGGTGGGAGGGCAGGTCAGGATGACTAAGTGGGCAATTCAGCAAAAATACCCCAGTTACAATCCTACCTACCCTTGGCCACAGCACTTCCTCTTCTAGGAATGTAGCTCAGAAACACGTGTGCATGGGCAAGTGACCTATCTGTGTGCAAGGTGACTCATCTCAGCAAGAAACCACCTAAGAATCCAGCCACAGGGGTGGTGGCACAGAGCTGCGACCCCAGGCACTCAGAAGGCTGAGGCAGGAGGATGACAAGTTTAAGGCCAGCCTCAACAACTTAAGGAGACCCTGTCTCAAAATAAATAAATAAATAAATAAAAGGGCTGGGGAGGTAGCTCAGTGGTAAACCACCCCTGGGTTCAATCCCTAGAACCAAAAAGAAAAGGAAAAGTAAGAAAAAAAAAATCAGCACTTTTGCTGTCATAGCAAAGGGTGTGGATAAATATTTAGAAGAATTTTAATTATGAAGAAAACAGGTCACGGCAATAGAAACTAGATGGATGCTCAACTATTAAGCCCATGGCTCCCAGGTGAGCCCGGGCAGGCAGGTGGGTTGCCGTTCCCCTGCCTCTTGCCTAGCAGCCCATCTGGCCCCAGGGCCCTGGGGAGCAGCTGTGGCCATACCTGTGGAGGTGTCTCTCTCCGGGAAGCTGACAGGCTCTTCTGGGGGAGGTGGCAGCTCCTCGTCTCGGGGCCTGAGGTGACCTGGCCGAGGCTGGGCTGAAGAGCCCTCTGCCAGAGCCTGTGGGGACACAGGAGGAGGTCGTCCATCAGGGACTCCCTGGGCCCTCCCAGGTCCGCTCCTACGTGGGTGGTCCCAGCCACCCTTGGCCCCACTGTTCAGAGGAGGAAACTGAGGGTCTGGGAGGAATCAGCAGGGAGCCGTGGCCCCTGGAGCCGGGTCTCCCCACTCCTTGCCCTGGGCTCCCTCCACCAGGCAAAGCTACTTCCATTTCTATGGAATCTCCCAGAAACAGGTTCCCCCAGGACTCCCATGTCTAATGGCGCCTGCGAAGGCAGAGGATTAAAGCAGTTTTCTATGCTATAAGGGATTTAGGTCACCAATCCTGACCACCCCCTTGGGGACTTTAAAGGGTCTTGAAGAGGCACTGACCTCAAGCAGAAGGGGCCAGACCACCTCCAGTCTCATAATTCTGGAAAGGCCTGGAAGACCCAGGTACCCCCGCCCCCAGGGGCCCAGGGGACCCAAGCTTCAGTACCTGGGGTGGGGGTGGGGGTGGGGGCAGGTGCAGCTGCTCCAAGTCTGAAATGAGGGGTGTCCCCATTGGGGATGCCTCATCAGGAGGCGGCAGGCACGCAGGAGGGGGTGGCGGAGGCGGCGGGAGGAGGTCCAGGTCACTAAGTGTGTCCTCACCATCTGGGGTGGGAGGAGGGGGAGAGCATCCTGAAACAGCAAGGGGACAGGGGGTTGGCCAGAGTGCCACAGGGGGACAGAGGAGGCGTCTGCTGATCCAGAAGGCAGAAGAGCAGGTGGCCAAAGGCTCAGGTCCAGGGGCACCCAGACCTGGGTTCCATCTGGCTTGGCCACTGACCTGCTGTGGGTCCTTAGGCAAATGACACGATCTCTCTGAGTCTTAAATTGCTCAGTTGGAGCATTTTAGGGGCTGGTGTTGAGGACATGACAGTGGCAGCGAGTGGCACATGCCAGGGCCGGCAGACAGGGGCTGGGAGAGCCTCTGGAGACCTCTGGGGGACACAAGCCATCAGCCCCTCAGGCTGCAGATCTCAAAGCCCTCTGTGCAAACTGGCATCACCGTCACCTGGGAGCTGGTCAGAAGCGCAACTTCTCGGTCTGCGTCAGGCCTGCAGAGTCAGACACTCTGAGGGTGGGGCCACCACAAGGCGCTAAGAAACCCTCCAGGTGTCTCAGATGTGGCTCAAGAGGGAACCCCACCCTGACTACAGAAGATTCCAGTAACAATCGTAGGGTGTTGAAAGCATTCAGGTGGAGAGTTGATGGGGACATTTTTTTGTTGTTGTTTTTGTACTGGGGACTGAACCCAGTGGTGCTTACCACTGAAATACATCCCCAGCCCTTTTTGTTAATTTTTTATTTTGAGACAGGTTCTTGCTGAATTGGTGAGTCTGGCCTCGAAATTGCCATCCTCCTGCCTCAGCCTCCTGAGTCACTGAGATTGCAGGTGTGCACTGGACCCAGCTGATGGGGAGCTTTCGGAGGAGCCCCATGGTCATCATCTGAACCCAATGGCTACCTTGGCAGACACAGGGGTCTCGAGACTCCTGTGACACTATAGGAAGCTGTGGGTACCTCCATGAAATGTCCCCACCCAAAATAACCCCCCAAAACAACCCCTGAGCTGTAATTATAAAATAGAAGCTGACTTCCACTTATAATAAATTTGGGACACAGAGAAGGAAGCTGAATGAGACCACAAGGCACAAAGGGACAAAGTCAGCAGGTGGGTTAGACACTGTACAGACCAAGTTCCTATTTCTGCAACAAGTCAACAGCCTGAGGAGGAAGGGGGACTTCCCTGGAATTGAGACTGCAGAGAAAAACGACCAACATGATAAATCTGTTCCATTGTCCAACGGAGCCGCTTACGTGTGGCTAAGGAGCTCTTGACCTCACTGAGTGGTGCTCCAAGCCTTAGTATCAACAAAAGAATGTGAAAAACAGAAACACACAAACAAAGAAGAATGCGACCTGGTGGTGCACGCCTGTGATCCCAGAGGCTCCGGAAGCTGAGGCAGGGGGATGGCAGGTTGGAGACCAGCCTCAGCAACTCAGAGACACGCTGTCTCAAACTTTTAACAACAACAACAACAAAAAGAACATGAAATATCTCATCAACGATTTTTTAATAAGTGATTTCATGCCGAAATAATATGTTAATGTTGGATTCCATAACCCATTATTAAAACGAACACGGCTTATTTCTTGTAGCTTTTTTCAATGTGGATATATTAGAACATTTCAAATCACATACATGGGGCTGGCTGGCAATTGGGACTTGACTTCTGTTTTTTTAAAAAAATATTTATTTGGGCTGGGGCTGTAGCTCCGTGGTAGAGCACTTGCCTTCCACGTGTGAGGCTCTGGGTCCGACCCTCTGCACCACATAAAAATGAATAAAGATACTGTGTCTATCTACAGCTAAAACATTTTTTTAAAATATTTATTTATTTTAGTTACTAAGTTTTTTTAAAATACTTTTTTAGTTGTTGGTAGGCCTTTATTCATTTATTTACTTCTGTGCGGTCCTGAGGATCGAACCCAGGGCCTCGCATATGCTAGGTGAGCGCTCTACCTCTGAGCCCCAGCCCCAGCCCCTGACCTGTTTTAGTTGGACAGCACTGACACAGACCTTATGTGGATCCTGAATGAAAGAATTAGTCACCTCATTTAATTCTCATTTTCTAGACAAGCAGAGGCTACATAGTCCACTGAATTATACAGCTCCAAAGAGAGATGAGAGTTGGGCGCGTGGTTCACGCCTGTAATCGCAGCGGCTCAGGAGGCTGAGGCAGGAGGATCATGAGTTCAAAGCCAGCCTCCGCAATTTAGTGAGGCCCTAAGCAATTTAGCGAGACCCTGTCTCTAAACAAAAATAAAAAGGGCTGGGGATGTGGTTCAGTGGTTAAGCACCCCTGGGTTCAATCCCTGATAACCCCCTTCAAAAAAAAAAAAAAGACTACACATTACATAATCCATTCATCCTGCTACAGCAAAAAGGCATTTTCATGACCATCAGAGGAATTTAGTTATAAACAGAGTATTAGAGCATCCTAAGGCATTCCCTTAAATTGATTAGGTGGTGTCTGCATGGTGGCCATGTAGGAACAGGGCTACATTTAGAGACGCACCCTGCCAAATGCATGAAATGCCACAATTATGGGGGTGTCTTTTAAAATATTCTGCAGAGGCGTGCTCAGCAGGCGAGAGGCCCTGGGTTTGATCCCCAGAGGAAGGTAAACAAGAAGATAAAATACTCCACAAAGAGGAAAAAGAAGAAGAGAACAGGAATAAACAAATGTGGCCAGATCTTGGGGACCACTGAACTGATGTGGGTACTCGGGGCTGCAGGTGCTGTCGACCCCCACTATCATGTACGTCTGAACACATGCACACGCACACACGCGGGCACACACGCGCACGCGCGCCCACACACACTCTAGCACAAAGTCATTTCTGTTATTAGCATAGCTGCTCCTGAGACCCAAGACTGACGGAGGCAGGAGACAGGGTGGGCCCCGGGGAGTGGACTCGATCCTGAGTCTGGTCAGTGGATATAGACCTCCACGTGCTCCCGAGGTGGAGTATGAGGGGCTCCCCAGCCCCTCCTTTCTCCTGTAGAGACGACCATGCTCTCTACCGTGTAATGCCACCAATAGAGGCCAGAAGGCGGCTGGGGGTCAGGAGGGAAGCTGTAGAGGGGCTGTGTCATGCCCATGAGAACCTTCTGCCCACGGCCAGGTTCAGGGCGAGCACTGTACGAAGGCCCAGTGAGAAAGGGACATGGGGGACACTCTGCCCATCTCCTGTCACTGGGCACAAGTTAGACCAGGGTCTTGTGAGCTCAGCCTCCGCGAGATGCCCATGGAAAGCCAATGGAAAATTCCAGAAGCCCAGGAGCCTGAAGACCTAGGCCTCGCTCCGTTCCTAGCCAATTCCCTGGACACCCCGGTCTTCAGGTTTCTCAGGGACAGGATAAAGAGATTAACACGGCTTCCCGGGGCTGAAGGCACTGTGCGGAGGGGAAGGGCGTGCTGCACACCTGGGAGCACCTGGGGGCTTGTCCAAACACAGACGGCTTCCCCACCCTGTTCCTGACTCAGCAGGGTTGGGGCAGGCTGCAGGAATTTGCATTTCTGGTAAGTTCCCTGGTGAAGCCAGGGCTGGTGCCAGGGCCACACGTTGAGAACCACTGTTCTAGCCCAGAAGTCACACCTCCCTGACCTCTTGGGACCAAACAACAGTTCCACATCCATTCATCCAATGTGGGACACCCAGGGTCAAGGAGTTCTCGGGCGGTGGGACAGGAGAAAAACTTCTAATACTCTACAGCACAGGGGACTAGGGTTGACAAGGATCCTGCATCCCCAGGTAGGTAGAAGAGAGGGTTCTGAACATTTCCAGCACAAAGAGACGGTACATGTGTGAGGGTATGGACATGTCACTGTCCTGACCACACTGTATGTTTGTTCACGTGTGACACCGAACCCCATAAATATGTACAATTATTGTTCCAATTTTTTAAAAATATTGTGCCGGGCCTTGTAGTGCACACCTATAATCCCAGAGACTCTGGAGGCTGAGGAAGGAGGATTGTGAGTTCAAAGCCAGCCTCCGTAACTTAGCAAGGCCCTGAGCAACTCAGGAAGACCCTGTCTCAAAATAAAACATAAAAAGGGCTGGGGATGTGGCTCAGGTACTGGGCTCGATCCCTGGTACCAAAAAAAAAAAAAAAAAGTTGTGAGGCTGGGGACCAAAGATCACTTGAGCTCAGGGGTTTGAGACCAACCTGGGCAACACAATCAGAACCCCGCGTCAAAGTTCACAAAGTGTGGTCCCCAGACCAGAGCATCAGCTTGACCCAGGAAGGTACAAGAAATGCAAATCCGTCCTCAGGCAGCCCAGCTGGGTCAGAAGCACCCTGGGCGGGCCCAGCTGTGTTGGAACAAGCCCCGGGTGACAGGGATGATGGAGTGTGGGAATCGGGCTCTGGATGAGCTCATGAGTCAGGACAAAGAGCGGTGGCCTCTCCCAGGCCCTGCCTCGGGTTTCCAGGACACCAGCTGAGGAGGGTGGGCAGGAACGCGGGGCCCCAGGTGGCTAGGAAGGTGAGCGTGTCCAGGGGCCAAGGGCAGGAGGAGGGAGAGCAGGTTTTAAGAGAAGCCAAGAGGGGAAAAGCACCTCAGGTGTGAGAACCAGGCAGTGCGTCTGCGGAACGTGCATCTAGTGGTGGGCGAGAGGGCAGCAGGAAGCAGCAGATGGCAGTCTGCTGTGGAGATGGCCTTGTCCCCAGCACCCCGAGGTGTGGGCACCCCAGACTCAGGACTGAGCTGCTCATCTGGAACTTTCCTTCGAGATTCCCCATGCTCTGCTTGAGGGCCCCAAGTTGGCAAATGGCCACCAGCCACACTGACCGGTGACCGTCAGGCCACCGCCTCCCAACAGTCTGCTTTTCTCGCACACACTCCCGGGGTCTCCTGCCTGTAACTCCAACAACCCCCGACCGTGGCCAGGGCCATCTGGCACCTCAACTGTATTTCCCGAGCGCCTCACCCACTCAGAGGGACTGCGGGGTTTTTCTCCCATTGGATCGCGTGTCCTGACGGTGAAGTTGGGTCAGTGTGGTCCTGCTCTCCAGAGGGAGCAGGCTGTGTCCGTGGGATGTGTGGTCAAGAGGCACACAGGGACCGTGTCACACGAACATCCCAGCACACTGTCCCTGAGCCCGTGTGTGGCACTTCTGACCACTGTCTGGTTCCTGAAACTGGAACTTGCTATCGGTCTTACCCGCTGGTTTCCATGGTGATGGGTGAAGGGCTGTCCCAGTGCTGCTCTCGGGCAGCAGGACACCTGACCAGGCACCTGGGGGGCTCCAGGGAGTGGGCTGCCATCTTAGGCTGGCCTCCTCTGCAGTGCCCTGTAGGGCAGCAGCAATGCCCTGCCCGAGGCCCTGGAATCACCTTCCTCACTTCTATCAACCCAACAGCTGACAATTCCAGTGAGAGTGACAGGGACAGAGGACTACAGCCTTCCTGTCACTTTTTCTCCTTTTTTTTTTTTTGGTACCAGGCATTGAACCCAGGGGTGCTTAACCATTCACCCCCACCCCCAGCCCTATTTTGTATTTTATTTGGAGACAGGGCCTCACTGAGTTGCTTAGTGCCTTGCTGTTGCTGAGGCTGACTTTGGACTTGGGATCCTCCTGCCTCGGCCTCCTGAGCTGCTGGGATTACAGGCGTGCGCCACTGTGTCCTTTTGTACAGATTAGAACCCGAGGCGCAGAGAGGGTGAAGCAGCTTGTCAACATCACACAGTTGAGAAATGGCACCAGGATTCGTCCCAGACAGACGGGTTCCAGACTCTGCCTGCACGTGGTGGTCACTCAGTGAGTGACTCAGAGCCTCTCCTTCCTCCCCACCTGGTGCTGCCTCCGCCCTGGTCCCCCTGAAGTCACCCTCTTACCTCCGTTGGAGAGCTGAGGTGGTACAGTTGGCACAGGGGCTGCAGCCCTGCCGGAGGGCACCCAGGGGCTGGGCTTCCCCACCGAGGCAGCCCCCACGGGCTTCACGGAGGCAGGGGTCTCCCAGGGGTGGCCACGCCGGGCCTCACAGGCCGCCTGCCTCACTCCCTCAGTCACAGCCACGTCGCGGCGCGGTGGCGTCAGGGTGATGAACACAGACGAGGCCACCCTCTTCTCCGGCTGGGAGGCCATTGCTTCAGCTCCGGCTGGCGCTGGGGACAGAGTGCGGCTCAGGCTCTGGCCGGACACACACCTGTCAAAGAGAAGTCAGGGGCACGGAGTCTCCCTCCTGCCAACACAAGGGGACATCACCCGCCATGCTGGTGTCCCACCCAGTCCAGCCACAGAGGGGGCAGGGCGGGAGTCCACCAGGTGACTTGGCCACAGGGTGGGACCCAAAGCCTGGACTGCACCTCCCCCAAAGCCTGCACACCTGGGGAGCAAAGGGCAGCTCCAGGCGCTCCACAGTGGCTACGGCACCTGCCCATAGGGCCACACCCCAAGTCACCTCCCTCACCTACCTGGACCCCAGTTCTCCTGGGAGAGCCTAATTCCTCAGAGGCTGTCAGGCCAGCTGCCCTGTGGGGGCAGAGAACAGGAACAGAAGTTCAGACAGCAGGGCCGGGTTCCCAGAGACAGAGGGGGCAGAAGGACAAATCAAAGACACCTTTTACCAAGACCTGCTCTGTGCTCACGTTGCCCTGAGCACTTGATGCTTATGAATTCAGAAATCCTCAGAGAGGTAGGCACCATTATTACCCCATCTCACAAGTGAAGAAATTCAGAGAAGTCAAGTCACTCATCCAGGGTCACACAGCAGTAGAGACAGCATTTGAACCTCAAGCCCATCACTTGGCCACTCTGTTCTGCTCCACCCACAAGCCAGTGTCCTTTCCTCCCTGCCTTCTATCGCCCAAATCTCTTCCTGCCCCATCTCCAAAACCATGGCCTCTGTACGGGCCCCAGCAGTGTGGGGGGAAACAGCTGGGTGGTCTCCAGTCCCACCTCCTCTCCTGATCCTTCCAGAGTGCTCATCTGATTTTAACCAACCTCTCTAGGTCTTTCTCTTTCACTGCCTTGGAGGGTTCACCATTGGCTTTTCCTCTCTGGCACCGCCCCCATCCCGGGGTGAATTTCCGCTTTCCCTTAGAGGCCAGATCCGGCCACATGTCCTCCACAAGGCCTCCCTAGAGTCCAGCCTCAGCCAGGGCAGCAGTCTGCTTTCTCAGGACCATGATGGCTCCCCACAGGACACACTGCCAGCTCCCCATCAATGTGTCTGACCCCCACGCGGCGCCGCCTGCCTTCCGCTGCCTGAACGGTACCGTGCCTGAGCGCAGCTGGTCTATAGCACAGACCTGGGAGGGGACAGCACCCGGCCTCAGGGGAAGGCGTCCTCCATCGCCCAGGCGGGTCCTGCAGACAGCAGCCTCTGGTGCCCAGGCTGAGGTGGGGCCACGGGTGGGGAGAGTTGATGGCCCTCGTCCAGCGGTGCTGCCAGGGCTAAAAATGTCCCCCTTTATCTCTCTAGCTCTGGTCTGGGCCACCTTGGATGACCCTGAAGTCCAGCCTTGGTACATGGGGGGAGAGTAAACAGAACAGGAACCCTGAGAAGTGGGCTAGCAGGCAGGAGGGGCAGAGCCTGAGGGACGCTGATGGTGGACTAGGAGCCTGAGTGGCCCCTCACAGCCCTCCTCTGTATCAAGTGCACCATGGGCTCTCTGTGGCTGACGGAGAACAAGGGCAGCATCTGCTCCCAAGCTCCTGGTTTATGTTTGGCTAAAAATAAAGATGCTTAGTCTGATAAGGAAATATCTGTTTGCAGTCAGGTGTGGTGACTCCCAGTGACTCGGGAGGCTGAGGCAGGAGGACCACAAGTTCAAAGCCAGTTGCTGAGGCTCTAAGCAACGTAGCAAGACCCTGTCTCAAAATAAAAAAATAAAAAGGGCTGGGGATGTGGCTCAGTGGTTAAGCGCCCCTGGGTTCAAAACTGGTTACCAAAATAAATGCATAAAATAATAATCTGCTCTGAATAAGGAATCCATATAATAGGAAAGAGCTTTGAAAGTTATTTAAAAGTGCCTCCCTTTTGTTTCTTGTTTTGAAGGTGATTTTGGAAGTATGTATGCTTATAGAGGCTGCCTTAGTCTTTGGTTTTATGCTTTGTTATGAATTTAAGAATCTATTTTTACCCAGGACTACAGCACATGCCTGCAATCCCAGTGACTCAGGAGGCTGAAGCAGGAGGATCACAAGTTGGAGGTCAGTCTCAGCAACGTCATGAGACCCTGTTTGAACCACGTACAGCCAGAGGAATGAGAAGTTGTGCTCCATTTATGTACTATACGCCAAAATGCATTCTACTATAAAATTAATTAATTAAAAAATAAAATAAAAATGGGGTTGGGGTTGTAGCTCAGTAGAGAGCGCTTGCTGAGCATGTGTGAGGCACTGGGTTCGACTCTCAGCACCACATATAAATACATAAATTAAATAAAGGTCCATTAACAACTAAAAATAAGTAAATAAAAATAAAAACTTCTAGGGGTGGAGCTTGGTGGTAGAATGTCCCTAGATTCAATCTGCAGTACTGAAAAAAAAATCTAGTTTCCTACTTGGTTGTCAGAGTGCACCTGAAATTTAGAGAATGAACACCCATGGCACCTACTGGGTGCCAACCTCTGTGCTAAGCGTGCTATGTGACTCAAACTCACCTGGTTCTCAAGGCAGTTGCAAGAAAGGTCCATTATGCCCCCAGTTCTCAGATGGGCCCCATGAAGCCCCAGTAGTTCAAGTGAATGTCTCAGGGGGGCCAGAGCAGGCAGGAATTCTAACACAGCAGGGTCCAGCCTGGAAGTCCAGGGGTGTCCTAGGACCTGAGGTGGCCGCTAGCCCAAATTCACAGGCCTGTTCTCAACCCAGATGGCCCTATCCAGACTGGGTAGCTTGTGGTCAGCACACTCTAGACTGGTCCCCAGAGACTGCTTCCGACCTTCAGGACACAGCCTCCACCCCCCTCCCCAGCTCTGACCCCTCCTCCATTCCTCCGGGAAATCAGATCTGCTTGCTTTCTGGGAAAACGTCCAGGGCTGAGGCCAGATGTTCACAGCTGTGCACCCCCCAACCCTCCCAAAGGTCCCCTGCAGGGACTTCAGGTCCCCACAGGAAGGAGCTGAGTTGAGGACTTTAAAAGAGCTGTCAAATCCCATCCGAGAAAGGGGGCCTGGGCCTGCCCCTGGTGTCCTGCGCCCAGGTCACCCTGGAAGGGCTCAGGGAACCCTCGCCCCACCCTGCTTCCCCCCAAAGGGCGAATCAGAGCGTCAGTTGGGAACGCAGAGAAAGTGGGAACAAAGGGAAGGAAAGCCATTTCCTGTCAAGAGGAAGGAAGGAGGCTGAGACCAGCCAGCCACCGGGCGGCTGCAGGCTTGGGCCCAGGGGCGGGCAAGAGCTGACTGATGGGGGGGCCGCCCCGCCCCCGCTGGCCCCCTTCCTGCTCCTAATTCCCCTCCAAACCACCTCTGAGCTTTGTTCTTTAATACCTTAATAAAGCAGGCCATGTCGGATCCAGAGGGAACTTTGCTGAAGTGGGGAGATGCTCCCCATCCCGCTCCAAGGTCCTGCAGCTAGCGAAGGATTCCCTCCTCCTCCTCCTCCTCCTCCTCCGCCGCCGCCGCCGCCTCCCCCACCCCCAGGAAGAGCACGGAGCTGCGTTGGCTGCGCCCCACCTCTTTCCCGACGGGTGACCCTGAGCAGTCACCCCACCTCTTTGGGCCTGGTTTTATTTAAAAAGTGAGAATCTGAGCCTGTCCTGAAGGGTGGCTGAGAGGACACGAGGAGAGTGAGCGCAGAGATCTGGGCACTTGATAGGTGCACCGAGAAAGACCGCGGGTCACCCGCCCGGGAGGAGGGAGGAGGCGCCCGAGGACAGCTTTCCCATTATTAGGAGCAGGAATCCGGGAGCTGCCCAGCCTCTTCCGGGGATTCTCAGATCTGGGCTGGAGGGGCCCCACGCCAAGATCGCCCCAGGCACCCACCTTGGGGACCGGCCCGGCACTCGCCGTCCCAGCCTTCCCAGCCCGAGGGGCATCTGAGGCCTCGAGAGGGGCAGCCCTGGGCCGCTCCTCCCGCAGGGACCCCGTCTGGGGAAAGGCACCCCGAGCTCCGGGAGCTCCAGAAACCCGGACCCCTCCCTCAGGCGGGGAGCAGGGCGGCTGGCCGGGTCACCGTGGGGCGCCGCCGGGGACTTTAATTCGATCCATGTGCGGGACGCTGCCCTCTTTGTGCGGGAGCTTCCGCCCTGCGCGCCGGGTCCCTGGCGCCCCGCTCCGGGGCAGGGACACGACCCCCGCCGTCCCCGCCGCGCCCTCCCCCCCTCGGAGGACACAGACGGAGACGGAAGGACACAAGGACAGGACAGCACCTCCCCGCCCCTCCTCTCGGAGCGCCCGGCCGGGGTCCGGGGCGCGGGGTGGGCTCCGGCTGGGCTGCCAGCGCTGTCACCCGAGTGCAGCCGGGACGCGACGCCGGGACGGGACCCCCCCTCCCCGCCACTTACCTGCGCCCGCGCCGGCGGCTCCAGCCCGACGCCCAGCGCCCGACGCCCAGCGCCCGGCGCCTCCCGCCGCGCTCCCGCCCTCGCTCCCTCCGCCCCGCTGCCCCGCGCCGCTACCATAAAAGGTGACGCTCGGGGGAGGGGGCCGGTCCCCGCCCCGCGGAAGCGGCCCCTACCTGCCCCCCCACCTGCGCGGCCGCGCCCCGGCCGCCCCCTCCCCCTCCCTTTGTTCCCGCGACCACTCCTCCCCGTCCCCTGCGCCCAGGCCCCGGGGGTGGCGTCCTCCCCCCGTCCCCTTCCTTTGTGCACCCTGAGTGGTCCTTATTCTCCCCCTCCCCAGGGTCACCCTGGTTGACCACCCCACCTGCCCGGTCTGCTGGGGGATGGTGCTCAGCCAGGAACTTAAGAGTCACACTTAGGTTACTGACCCATCCCTAAACATCCCTGGGCGGCAGGCCATCTCGCTGAGCCTCAGTGTCTTCACGGGAATGTCCCTCTGCCTATGCCTGCGGCAAGGCCTAGGGATAAAAGGCGTCAAAGCCAGGGAGGAGCACACAGTCAGTGCTCAATATATGCTGGGTTTGGGACTTTTTTCAGGAAATGCCTTGGGGAGGAGGGGGCTCTGAGTCTCCAGTGGAGCTGTCTGATTCGCTGTCTCCAGCTGTCACTGCTGGTCTGGATCCCTTAATCCCTCTGGGGGTGGGTCCCAGGGTCCTGAAGGGGTGGGGTGGATAGGTGGGACAGGCAGGGCCCAGCTGGCAATCAGCTTACCTGGTTTGCTAGCCTGCACCGGGCCACTGACCCCTCCCTGCACCTTCCAGTTCCCACCTGCCACGCAGAGCAGATAGAATGGGGGGGGGGGAGGAGCAGCCTAGGCTCTGGGGCCAGTGCGGAGGGGGTGGGCCGCTGGTCCCTGGAGGCCAGAGAACATGGCTGGGAAAAGGAATCCGAGTCTGATTCAGAGACAAACAGATTGTTCTCTTGATTAAAACCCACAGTGCTGGAGGCCAGGGGAGGGCCGGACCCAGTGCCATCTGGGGGTGTCCAGGCAGGTTCTGGCTCTCTCCTGCGCCCCTCAGCTGGGGCTACTACTGAGGGGCTCACATGATGGAATTCAGGAGGGTTTGCCTGGGTACCTGTTTCCGTCCTCCCTGAGCCCTCACCCCCGAGAGCCACCCCTGTCATCCCTTTCCCCTTTGATCCTCACAACCTCTGCAACAACAAAGGCCGCAACCAACAGTAGCTGCCATTCACAGAGGTCCCGTGTGCCCAGGTACAGGGCTCTCATTTCAACCCCCCAGCCCTGGGTGCTGAGGATTCCCGCAGGACTGAGGCCCCAGAGGCTCAAGGCCAAGCAGAGCTGGATTCAAAACAGACCCATGGGTGCCCCTAGGCACGCTGCTCCGCGGGTTCTGGGGTGCGAGACACGCCACGCAGGGTGATGAGAGCTACCCACTGCAGATGAGGCCACCCGTGGCCTGTGGCTCCTTCCGGCCTGGCAAGGCGGCCACTCTGTAGCACTGTTAGGAGACCCAGCCTCCTCCGCTGAAGGAAGGAGGAGCCACTGAAGGCAGGGATGGGAGGCGGCACCCAGGGTTTCAGACACGTCTGCTGCAGAACCCCTTCTTCAAGCGCTGGGTGACCCCGAGGCCTATTTCAGTCAGGTCACAGGGGAGGTGCCCGGGAGTGGGCACCTCCGTGGCATTCCCTACAGCTACCTCACCTGCACTGCCAAATGGGACAATGAGGCCCTGAAGGGTTGACTTGGGGGCTTGCAGAAGGCCACAGTGACTCAGTCTAGGGTGTCCCCGTGTCCCCTCTAGACCACTGAGGGGAGTGTGGGACGCAGCTGAGCTGCTCACCAGCTGTCCAGCACCCCTGGCCACCTCCCTCAGCTGCTGCTCCAGATACGGGGGACCGCCCAAGCTGAGGCTCCCACACCAGCCCCAGGATCAGTGTCCCCGATAGGCAGGTGCCAGACTTCCTGCAATGGAAACCCAGGAAGTGCGCTGGGCAGAAAACACGCCCTTTGCCTGCCAGCTCCGAGAACCTTCTCCCTCCTCCCTCCCGGCCGGGTTCTGACCAGCCTTCTCCCAACCCAGATGCCCCGGCAGGCAAGGGCTTCAATCTTTCACTAGTGTTGAGACCCTGGGTGGCAGGAAGCGGGTGGGAGAGAGGCTGAGGGACAAGGTCCAGTGTGGGGTGTTCGGCCCCTGCCGTCCACAGTGGAGGGCTTTGACCATGGACTCTGGCTAGGCACTTCCTGCGTGGGGGAGATGAGTCAGGAGCCAGCGGAACCAATCCAGATGCCATCAGTCCTGTCGCCACAGAACTTACAGGGAGGTGGGGAGATGGCGGCTATAAAGGAAATTAATATCACCATTGCCCATTAAAGTGTGCATTGAAGGAAGGGACTGAGACAGAAAAATGGGCGGGATGGGGCGAGGGACTCTCTGAGGAGGTGGCACTTAACCTGGGGGGGGGACAGGGGCTTTGAGGTCCGACCTGGCTGAACAGCTCTGGTGCTGACTGTGACCTTGGACGTTCTGTCCCTCCCTGGGGAGGCGTTTCCTACCTGTGGCCTGGGCAGCGTGGGGTGGGTGCAGGCTTCCCTTTACAGAAAGGTGGGGACGGGGAGGAAAGGGCACACACACGGGTCTGGCCCACAGCGCTGAGGATTCCCGCGTCGCTCTAGCCTGTGCCTGGAGCTTTTGTTCACCATCCCCCCACCCAGGGCAGGACACCCCGGGAAGCCTCCACTCTGCCTCGGGCAGGCTTCTCTGCAGGCTGTTGCGGGAAGTGCAGGGGGTGAAGGGTGTGGCAGGGTGGGCCCCGGCTCCTAGCACCCTCTGGCCTCCGTCCTGCAGCCTGCCTGCTAGGCCTCAGGGCAGTCCTGAGCACCCCTGTGGGCAGGGCCCTGTGCTGGGCAGGACAGGACAGTGGGCGTTCCCACAGGGTGGCCCCAGCACCCATCACTATCCGAGGGACCCCAGCTCTGCCTTTTTCTCTGAGCTCCCTTTCTCCCACAGCCCAGGGCCAGCAGCGCCTTGTGGCCTCTTTGTGAGGATTCTTTTTCCCAGGCCTGGAGA